GCATTGCTAAATTGATTACGCTTTGTATTACAAATTGTCATTCGATCCGGAACAAGCCTTTTCCTTCTTTACCTCGGGCTCACTCTACGCGAGCAGTTGCAACATCCACAGCTTTCGCAAGGGGAGTTCCCCTTGCAGACATCTGTCGCGCGGCTACCTGGGTTTCTAGTGTAACTTTTGCGCGTCATTATGCCATAAATAGAAAGTGGGCTTCCGATGCCGCGGTGGCCTCCGCGGTTTTATCCACAGTAGAAGATAACTGACCCGGAGCGCATTCTGGGTTACTGCTTTGTAGTCACCTTGAGTGGAGCACCCACGGGGACCACTCGAAGAAGAAGAGGAGGTTACTCACCTTGTGTAGTAATGATGGTTCTTCGAGATGTGTCCCTGTGGGTGCTCCATGCCCCACCCTCCTCCCCGCTCCAGGTCTTTCTGCTTTATCTTTCAGAGACCGAGCGGTGAGAGGAACTGACGAGGGGGGGCCGGACCGTGAGACGTTGCAAAGGCGCGAACGCCGCGCGCTGCTCTCAGGCATGCGCGGTCCAGCCCGGCTACGGCTCTGGAAATCTCCGACTAGCGGCGCCGGGTCGGGACCCGACACCTTGAGTGGAGCACCCACGGGGACACATCTCGAAGAACCATCGTTACTACACAAGGTGAGTAACCTCCTCTTCTTGCGCACAAACTCGCGGCCAGTGTAGACAGGCCTTTGCGCAAGATCGCATCAATGTAGACACAGCCTAAGTGTTTACTATTGTAGCCAAGCACATCACTCTGAACTTGTATTAAGAACCTTTGACTTCTGATCCAATTCTCAGAGGATCTAAAAGATTTTTCAGATTCTTGTGAAGATCTTCAGGCTAAGACAGAAGCCTCTGTTATGCTGAACCATAAGGCTTCTTTCCATGTTTATCAATAGCCTGCTCTAAACACCAAGGATTCGGAAATACAACTTCAACAAGATAGGCAGTGAGTCCACACTACCAAGCCCATTCTGTCTGCTGAAATCTATTTCAGTACTCCTGATTTTCACAAGGGGTGTGTTTCTAGACTTACATCCCTCTTTTGACAGAGGGATATAAATTAGACACTTCGAAATTGCAAATGAAGCCGGAATTTGAATTTCCTGTGCTTTATTTGCATAATAGCGCCATGGCGCTCTTTCGAAAAAGTGCTATTTTGAAATTGAAACCGCAGTCTAGACGTGGTTCTTTCAAAAATAGAAACCTTTTTCAAACAATCCTGTAAACTGCATTGAAACCGTGTCTAGACTGCGGTTTCAGTTTTGAAATAGCATTTTTTTGAAAGAGCATCATGACGCAATTATGCAAATGAAGCACGAGAAATTCAGATCCCGTCTTCATTGGCAATTTCAAAGTGTCTAATTTACATCCCTCTGCGGAAAGAGGGATGCAGTCTAGACAGACCCTTCCCGCAGAATTTGCATATCCTCTTTCCAATCTTCTGCATGGCCTAGAGGAGCCCAGAGACACACAGGCAGCAGAGTTGCTTCAATCTGAAGCCTGCGACCCAGGGAAGGGCAGAACAGGGCTTGGGGAGGAGCCAGGGGGAGGTTTTGTTGAAGCCACTACAAGAAAGCAGCAGAAAAGAGAGATGGGTGTGTTGGAGGCCTTGTCGAGAAGGGGGAAGCCCTGCCTTGTTACAAACCCCGCTGCACAGCTCATGGGGGGGAGGGCGGCTTCTTGTCTTGTCCTTCAGTACTAAGTAGATTCATTGCCTCCGTACCACTCAGCTCGGAACAGCAGGAGGCCCTTGATGTGCAGAGACAAAATGCACCTGAGACGGGCAAAGGGTTATCGACTTATCTCCAGGGAAATAGGGAGCAAATAGTTGTTACCTCTGAAGGTGGCAGACACGTGGGAGTCAGGTGTGGTGAATTTTGCAGGGGGGATGTTGGCAGACAGAACCACGAGGTGCAGCATTTCTGTCCCACCTCTGCTGATGCTCTCCCTTCTTCGTAGCCAATGACTTTATTCTGTAACCATGCAAGCCCTTCAGTACTTCCTTCTTTCCCCTTTACTCTGCCCATCCCTGTTTTTTGTCCTGTCAGTGGGTTGTTAGTAGCAGTAACTCATGTGTTTACAGCTTACCTCCGAATGCCGCTTTGTGGCTTTGTCTCACTGGAAGGCTGCCGGCGCCCCGCGTGCGCCCAGGGCGCCGCAGCCGCCCCCAGCTGGGGGAGGGGCGCAGACATTGTCCCAGCACTGCCTGCCCCGCCCCCCGGCTCTGAGGAGGAGGGGCTGGCCCTTGCGCCCCTAGAAAAAGTGATGCCTCTCTCCCGTACTGTGCAACCCGCCTGTCTGCTGCCCAGCTCTGCAGACAGTCCTGCAACAAACGTAGCACAGCAGTAACGGTGGCAATACCGTGACCCCCCCCCCCTATAAAAACCTTACAAACAGGGCCGTCCTTAGGATTTATGGTGCCTTATGAGGGATTATTAAACTGGTGTCCCTATGCCTAGGTTTGTCAAGCAAAAAAAAAAAAAACCAACCAACCCACCCACCAATACATTAAAATCACATTCCTTCCCCAAGACTCCACTCTTTTGAGGCCCCATCCTCTCTGTTCCCCATCGCTCCATCACTTGCTATCCTCAGCCATTATACGCTCTCACTTGGTTGAGAAAGGAGGTGCAGGCTGTGGGGTGGGAATGAGGGATTTGGATGTGGGAAGGGGTGAGAAGTACAAGCTCTGGGAGGAAACTTGGATGCAGGAGAAGGGGATGCTGGCTCGGGGGGGAGGGTGGGGGGGGTGAGAAAGCCACAGGCTTGTGGATGTGAGGGTGCAGGAGTTTGTGTTGGATGTGTGCAGGGCTCAGGGCAAGAAGGTTGTGAGTATGATGGGTCAGGATATACATTTGCCATGTGTGGATGGTGCAGGAATGTTGTGGCAGAAGACAGGATGTGGGGATGCAGGAGTTTGGGGATGTAAGAGGCTCAGGACAGAGTATGATAGGGGTTAGCACCTTCATTGATAAAGGTTCCACCACTCCAAATCTTAATTAAGTCCATAATTAATTGAATTGAATTTGCATAAGAATTGTAATTCCAAGATCTGGAGTGGTGGAACCTTTATCAATGAAGGTGCTAACTACTTTTTGAATGAAAGACAGCACTATGTAGCACTTTACATAGTTTTTGGGGATGTAAGAGGCTCAGGACAGAGTATGATAGGGTATGATCGGCTCAGATTTGGGGTCAGGTGGTGCAGGAGTGTTATGATGCTGCAGTGAAATGGGGATTTGGCCCCAATTGGAGGCATGTTGGCCATGCTTCATTTTTAAATAAAATATTATGTCAAACTCAAAAGGTTTTAGCATTGTCTTTATTTTTGAGAGGGGCAAGGAACCTGTTTTGAGCCAAGGGTCACTGACCCACAGAAAAGTCAGTTGGCACAACACAAGTGAGATGCAAACCCCTCCTCCCCAATCCTAACTAATGTGGTCCCAACTGTGCTGGTGTGGGCAGGGGACAGGATGCTAGTGGGTGCTGGGGCCGGGGCGAGGGTGCTGCTGTGTGGCAGGATGCTGGCACAGGTGGTGGGGTGCTGGGACAGGATGTTGGGGTCAGGGACATCGTCCTGCTGGGCACTGGGATGGGTGGCAGAGTGCTGGGACAAGGAACAGGGTGGTGCTGGGTGCTGGGGTGAGTGGCAGGGTGCTGGGGCCACGGACAGGGTCCTGGGGTGAGTGGCAGGGTGCTGGGACTGGGGACAGGGTTCTGGGGCCGGGGACAGGGTGCTGCTGGGTGCTAGGACTGGGGACAGGGTTCTGGGGCCGGGGACAGGGTGCTGCTGGGTGCTGGGAACAGTGCTGGTCCGGTAAACCTCATCCTACGAGGCATAACGGGGAGGTCGATAAAGGGATTTCAGGTCGGTGCGGGAGCGTCCAGACTAGCACGCTGTGCCAACAAACAGCTGATCAGCTGTTTGTTGGTTCAGCGCGGCAGCCATTTAAATTTAAATGAAACCGCAATTATTTAAATCGCGGCTTCATTTCCCTTTGCCGATCAGCCTAATCAACATGGCTCCATCGATGGAGCCATGTAGTTTAGACACACCCTAACAGACTAACTCGGCTAACCCCTGAAGCTTTAAAAACAGTGTAACTGAAATTGGCCAAAATGTACTGTGAATTTGGTAGGGTTCTGCTCATAGATCAGGTTCTCTAAATCTTTTGTTGCTCTCCTCTGGGCTTACTCCAATTTATTCGCATCTTTCCTAAAGCGTGACAC